CAGAGACCTGCAGCGGCCCCACCGCAGCCACCACGCTCTGCCCAGCTCTGCTCCCGGGCACACGCCAGCTCGTGCTCCAAGACAGCCAAGCGCACGCTGGCCCTGATCCGGCAGCCACGTCACTGCCCGCAGCCGTGCACGGATCACACACGGATCACAACCCTGTCCCTGCCAGAGGGATGCCGTGCAGCCGTACGCGGGATGCCCTGGAAAGGCAGGGCGCAGGCGGGGTGGCTCGGGAGCGGACATGGTACCTTCTGCTGCAGGGCTCTCTCCAGGGACTCCACCTTCATCTGCTCCTTGCGCAGCCCGGCGTGCAGCGCCGCGCTCTCCGCTTTGGCCTTGGTGCGCACCTGGGCGATCTCCTCGTTGGCTCTGCGGTGGGGTTTGGAGAGAAGGACACGGCGGTCACCGGGCGCAGGCAGGAGCGGCGCGGCACAACGTTAGAGCATGCGGCGCCGGCAGAGCCCGGCTCCTGCTTGCCTGGATGCATCGGAGGTGGTTTTCCCATATGGAAAACCTGCACGAAATGGGATTAATTCAGCTCCTCCAAACTCCTGTATGGAAACTCTCCTTTCCCAGAGTGAACTACACCAGTTCCTCACCCCCTTCACTTGAGGCTACCGTGTGTTGGTGACCCGCTGCTCACCAGCTGAGCGACCCCTTCGCGCACCACGAACATGAGCCCTCTGAAACGTGGAAACGTGTTAAGTGGCTGTAAGCAGACCGTGACCATCGGTTCCTCCGTTAACGAAACCCCTCAGCAGAGATCAGAGAACGCGCCGGGGGATTTGTGCTGGCTTACTCACCGGCAGCCCCAGTAAGTCACTTGAGCCTGAGGTTGTAAAACGCAGCTTTTCCCATCAGTAAGCTCCTGCCTCCCAACCTCAGGAAAGCCAGAGGGATACACTGCCCTACAAGGTCTTTAAGCACCCAGAAAGCTCCTCAGCACGCCCAGCTATCTTGTGCATGACCTTACTTGTCTAATTTTTCTTCTGCGTGGACTTTCAGGGCCTGATACCGCTGCTCTTCTTGCTTGACCCGGGTTAAATAATCTTGAGCACATTTCTTCAGAGCTTCTTCATTCTGGAAGAAAAAAGTACATCGGCCTGCATTGGGACTGAGCACAGGGATGTTGGGCTGATGGGGTGATACATCCTGTTCCGAGTGTCCCTTACACTGGAGCCCCTTATCCAGCTCAGCAGCATGGAAAAATGGTGCGTAAACGGAGGCAGGGTTTCTCGGGGCACTTTGCCCTGGCACCTGCTCCGCCATGGCCACAGCTCTGCCCAGGGCACGATGCTCTGCCCCAGCAGCTCAGCAGGAGAGTGCTGGAGAGGAGCGCGGAGAAGAGCCGGCTCCCGGAGAGCCCGGCTCCTCGCACCGGCTTCCCCCGGCATTTGGAAGACTCTTTGCCCATTCATCAGAGGGAGGGCAGAGGAAAGCGCGCGAGCAGCCCTCCGAGCAAGGGCCGGGCGTTGGGAGCAGCACGGGGTGGGACGGGAGAGCCACAGTGCCGCAGCACGGGGCAAAGTGGGGGCAATGCTGCACGGGAATGCTGTGTCCAGGGACCAGCACTGCGGGGAGACAGAGGAAAACAAGGCCAGGACCTTCTTAAAGCCTTCCAGGACACCCTTCAGGTTTTCGTATCTCCTGAAGAGATCTGACAGGGACCTCTCCACCGAGTTTAGGTCTGCCAGAGCCTGGTCCTTTTCCATGGTGAGCTGCTGCAGATTCTTCTGAGATGTCATGTTTGTCCTCTGCTCGTCCTCTGTGATGGAGAACAAACAGTGAGGACACGGGGACGGAGCGGGGGCAGCGGCAGCCCCGGCCCCATGTGCCCAGCCAGGCGACAGCACCTCACCTATCATCTGGGCGATGGTCTTCTCGTACTCAGCCACGATTTTCCTAGAAGGAAAGGAGACAAAAGGCAGGTAAGAGGCAGCAGGTTGTTGTAGACATGCACCTACAGCTCTGCTGCCAGCAACCAGCCCCAGGGCCGTCCCCTCCCCACACCACGCAGCCACCCAAGCCACAGCCGTGACTGCTGCATCTCCCACTGTTGCTCCCTGATGCCAAGACCTCCCTCCAGCTTCTGCCGCTCGGGCCAGCACAGCTAATGGGATTTTATTCCTGCAACAAAGGAACCAGCAGCTCAACGCAGCGCAAGCACAAAGAGTACACGGCTCCCAGCATGTCCCACGCTGAGGATGCTGAGCCGCATCACGCCGTTATGGCCCCGCTAACCCACCTCCCAATGGGTCGCACCAAGCACAGCACCATGCTGTGCCGGGCAGCAGGAGGTGACCGCGCGAGGAGGTGCTCGTACCTCATCTCCAAGACTTCCTGGCGGCTCTCTTCGTATTTCTTCTTCCACTCGTTTGCTTCGATCTCCTTGGTGATTATCTAGGATGCAGCAGACACGGAACCCTCGGGACACACTCTGGGCAGTTTCCCTTGCTGCCCCACGCCTGGGGTGTGCAGGGACCAGAGCTGCCCCCGCAGCCCCGGGGTGCCCACCGTGCTGGGGTGCCCCCGGGCGGGATGGGGTGCCCGGCTGTTACCTCCTCTCTGATGAGCGTGAGCACAGCCGTCTTCTCGGATTCACTGAGGCAGATGCTGTCCAGGGGACTCTCGCTCCTGCTCACGCCGGTGACGGCCGCGGAGGACTTGTCCATGGAGCACAGCCCAGGAGTGCCCTGGGGGGAAGACCCAGCTAGGATGCCATGTGGGTTCTCTTTCCACCCTGCTTCTCCTGTTTGGGGTGTTCTCCCCCATTTTATCAGCTCCTGTTCAGGCACCGAACCTCGCTCCCTGCACACAGTCAGCTCAGAGCCCGGGATCCCGGACACCCGGCACAGCCCTTGCGGGGTTTCAGTGCACCTTCTGCCAAGCCCCTTGCCAGGAGCGGGGGCTGCGCTGCAGGACATGCAGGACCTGGCCTGGGGCTCAGCATCCCAAAGGGGACACAGAGCAGGCCTGTTTCAGAAGGAGAAGACTCAGCTCCGAGCAGAGCTGTGCTCACACCTGACTTCCCTTCACCTTCCCCAGGGCTGATTTTAAACACCCTCCAGCGCAGAGGCTCTTTGCTGGCTGTGGGCCACGGGCAGGGGGTCTGCGAGGGTCCCTGTGGTACAGAGATTCACCCTCCTGCACCACAGGGTCTAGTTGTCCCAGTTCCGAGGCTGCTCCCGCTATCCCCGCTGAGGGACAGCCCTGCTCATCCCACCGGGCTCCAGCTGTCCGGGAGAACTCCGAAAGCAGAGACACTCACGCAGGGCTCCCAGCACCCTCCTGTTTCCATTACGGGTGCTCCTACAAGGGACGAGGTGGTGGCACCCCCATTGCTCACAGCTCTCTCCCCGCCCCAGCCCAGCTCCTTTCCACCAGCGCTGCGGCCGCAGGGACCAAAGCGGGGGGAGAGCCCCACACCGTGACCTGGGCGCAGAGCCCTGCCTGGATGCCGGCCCCATCCCTTCCCTCGGTGGGGAGGGGGCCCCACAGTCTGAAAGGCCTCCAGGAAAGCATTCCTTCGAGCCGAGGCTCACACCACCGCCTGCTCCTCCTTTTATCATCCCAGCCGCAGTGACAGCCCCGCGCAGCCATCTCCTTGGGAACCAGCTGCCAGGCCATAAATAGAAAAGTGTTTCGGAGG